GTCACTTCTGATGATGCAAATATATATATGCTTCTTATGGCTGGCATGCTGATTATGGTATAGAACAGTTACTCTTTGGTATCGTGCCTCCTTTTATTTATTCAACAAAAAAAAATGATTATTTATAAAAAAATTTATTTTATTGTTTTTCAGATTAATGGAAACAAAGAAATTAAACTGGAGAGAGAATCAAAAGACAAATTTAGAGATGTAAACCCAACTCTGATACTATGACAAATCATTAGAGAACACCTTTAGAACAAGCTAATAATATGGTAATGCATCCGAAAATGAGGATGGACATACAATCAGATGTATCAAAATCAGACCTGTCATAAGAATACTTAGACTTGGGGGCACATTGTTCTGATCCTATGTATTTATGGTTTTCAGAAGAAACCAAACCTAGAACTACAGAACTAAAGACTATGCAGATTGAAAAGGTTGCATGTATGATCTATAGTAACATACGACCACTACTATTCATGCTAAATTCAACTCAACAAAAATTTGTCTCAACCATTTAGAATCTCTATTCGAAATCGGAAGCTTATTGAATCATGCCATGCCATGCCATGCCGTGGTGGCAAAATGGGTGGACTTTTGGACAATTTTTTTTATCAGTGTCAACATTGTACATTGATGTGCAGTACATTAATTCGTCATATTACAGAGTTAGACAACTAATCAATAATGTATAACAACAAATCGTTGCCGAGAACAAGCTTTTTTTTTTTTTTTGCTACAGAGTGTTTAAGTTTGCGTCGACTATTCTCTCCAGCTCAGCAGCCAACCACCGTGGGTTGAGTTAGAGTATGTTTCTAAAGGGATAAGAGTGACTAGCTCTTAGAGAGTGTGGGAAAAAATTAAACTTGAGATTTATAAATTCATAGAGATTAGACTCAATCACTAAATCATCCTCAGGGGTTAATCAACAAGCCATTTCAAAGCTAAGCTTATGTACGTTAGCAGCTTCATGTAGAATGGATAAAAGGGTTGACCCCCTTAAAAAATAATATCTTCATTCCTGTATATACTTTATTCGTGAGGTTAAAGTTTAGAACATATTAAGTTCATGTCCCAAAATGGGTTAAGTCAACTAGCAAATCTTATCTGCACTCCTCACTGGGCAGGACAGATTTGAAGTGAATGAGGAATTTGAAGAGTTGAATGGCCCGATTCATTGTTTAATGTTTAGGGAATGGAACATGAAATACACGTCTAAAGAATTAGCCTGTGACCCCTCTCACTCTTCCATCCACGGTGTTTGCAAGTTTCGTATGAAGTTCTCTCGTCTCAACTATTTTATCTAATTGTACGACCGTATGAAATTATGGAGTAGTTCAAGTTGTAATAAAAATGAATTTTAAATTTAAATATTTTAATTTTGAATCTTGACAATCTTTTAAAATTAAGTCATGAGTGATAAATTCCTTCTGAATATTCTAATTCTAACGTGAATAACATGTCTTTAACTTGATCGAGGAAGGAATTACTCAAAATACGCTTAAACTAACTTGAACATCTTTAACCGTTGAAAAAAAAAAAAAAAAAAGAAACTAAAGAGTCATGAACAGCACTGTATGATGATTGGTTGTTAGCATATGGTTGCCCTTAGATGAGAAAAAAAAACCCTTTGATAATATATATTTCTTGAATAAGACGTCATGATCAATGAGGTCATTGCCCAGTAAACCCATTACCGACCAAGTTTATAGAAAAAAGAAAGTCAAAAAATGCAGCTTGACATATATATATATATACATATATATATATATATATATATATATTGCAAAATTATTGGGAAAATACAAGAAAAAGGAAATATGTAAAGACCATAATACCCTGCTGACTTATCAGTTATGGTTTTTAAGTTATCAAAGTGCATTTATTTTTGTGTTTGTGCAGCAATAATTCCAGTTATTAACGCAACTTTGACCTAATGGTGGGTAGACAAAGCTGAATTGGATTCACCATAACAGAGAGCCGACTGTTGGCGTTGACTTCCTTCGAATATTCTAGTAGGCCCCTTGTCAAGTGTCAGTGGATTGACCAACCTTAACGGGGACACAGAGAGGCCACGTGATTCTTTTGGATGCAGGTTAACTACGCCAGTTGAACCTTTCGTTAGATAGATGTAAACTACACCGCTTGTCCACCGACCGGTTGATTTAGCGGGTAATAATTTTGATTTTTTTTTTCAATATTTGAATTCCAATTTTCGTAATTATAATTTCGCTAAGATTAAGTTTACTTTTTAGTAGTTAAAGTAAGCGGTAAAAACTTAACTTCAACGTTAACAGAAGTAAGATGATATTGAAGAATAATATTCTCTGACAGATATGTAAAATTATTTATGTGAATATCTCTTTTGTGTATAATAATAAAAAAAACACACCGCTTAGAGTTGCACGTGTCTTCCAAGTAATAAGAGAGATTAATCAGAGATTTGTTAGTAATTTTTAGAAAAATTTCAGTCACATTCTTTTAATTTATATTTAAACATTACTAACACTCTTTGTCATTAAATCATCATCTCTAACAAGAAACATTATCTAAAATACCAAAGTTGTCCTTATATAAACTCAAAATAATATTTTTACATAAAATTTGAGCTGATTAAATTTTATTTATATATTAACATTTAACCTGATTAAAATTCAATTCGATTTGATTCGAATTGATTAATTTTTTTTAACGTATTAAATTTGAACCTATTAAAATTCGAATCGATTGGAGCTCAATCTGAGCTGTTAGTGTCGATTCTAGTCGATTAAAATTTATATTTTTTTACTTATTAAAATCCATGCCAATTAAAATTCAATTCAAGTCGATTAAAATTCATTTTTTATGTATTAAAATTTATATTTTTTTACATATCAAAATTCGGGCCGATGAAAATTTAATGCGAGTTGATTAAAATTTGATTTGAGCTGATTAAAAACGAATTTTATTTGATTGGAATCGAATTTTAGTCGGCCTGAATTTTAATACGTAAAAAAATTTATAAAATAAAAGAGGTCTCATTGAAGATATGTCCATCTAAATGGATGTGAATAAATTTTTTTTTAAAATATATCATAGAGAATTTAGTAAAATTATATTTTAATTAAAGACTTTAATCTGACAGAAAGTGTCAGGAAAGATTCAAAAATTATAAGGGGGTCCTTGAAGATTTGAAAACTAGAGGACGTGTGACTAAAGTTTTTCTTAAATATTTTTGTAAAATCTGAAATTTGGCATAATTGATAAGTTCCAAAGCTCAATTGTTACATGGTAAGCACTTATCATACCTATGAAGTGTGAGAAACTTCCTTTTATATAGCGTGGATGATAAGGATTTCGAACAATCCTGAAGATAGATAAAAATAGATTACAATAATTTTACCATAGATAAAAGTCAAAGTTTTGTATTCTCTATTCTATCGGTGCTTGTGGGAATAGATAGTTCAGTCGCTTTTAAGATAAATCCTTCTTTACTCGAGTCTATCATACGCATTAAATTGTATCCAACATATTTTACTTGTATCAGAATTATTAAATAATCAAAAAAGAAAAATTACATGTAAAGGAGATACCCACACCGCATCTCTATTTTAGTACTCAAGAGTCAAAATTGTCAACTTAGAGCAACTCCAACGAGATCCTCCAGCGAGCTCCTCAAATGACATTTGTTAACTAGTTTAGCTAGCTTCTTCCTAAATTCTTCCTCCAATCGCCTGGTTATTTCTCATAACATTATTTTTTTAGCTATTTCTGGCGAAGCAAAGGGGCTAGCTAATTGATTTTTGCACCAAATTTCACTCAACATCATTGATCAATTTCTTGGTTGTCTTCATCCTAGTCATCGTCTTCATCAAGCACTAAATGTATGCTCTTTCTCTGTCTCTATTTTCGCTCCAACCTCTCCCTCTTGGTTTCCACTGGAAAATCTCAAAAAAAAATCCAATAAAATCCCCAAAAATCTAGTCGAAAAGTTATGCCAGTTACTTGGGTTCTTCGAGTCCTTTAAGTACGGTCATTTTTAGTATCAATCAATAGCTCTACTCCATGATTGACATAATCTAGCAAAGAACTCGGATACAAACGGTATCAAATCGATCTTGTTTTTAATGTGAAGCACTTTCAGATTTTGAAATTGCTTGAGTTTTTTTATTGAAAGCTTTGTTGCTCACCTGTGAACAACCAAACACAAAACCAGAGATTAGAATGAGTGTTAAAATATAATTTTTAATTATATTATTAAAAGTTAGATAAAATTAATTGAAATAATTAACTATAATAGATATCGTGGTTGAAGTGAATTTGTAAAAATGATTAGGTAAAAGAAATAATATAATATTTAAATATATTTTTTGTAGCTATTTTCGATAATTACGTTAGAGTTGTTGTTAGAACTGATGCTTTTAAAGATGAAACTATCCATTATCAAGTGGAGATCTTGTGACTGCTGAGTTAATAACTATGGTTTAAACTGAATATTTCATAGTAAAAGACTCTCTTAGTCACGCTCAAAAAAAAAATATTACTTACTAGTCGTCGTTCTATTTTTTAAAAAAAAAAAAAAAAAAGTGGAGCTGTTTGGAGAATGCCATTAATGGAGTGGGATTAGACTCGAGGTCATATTCTCGTAGCTAACGGTTAAAGAAGGAAGTTATGGGTCCACCATATTTTCTCCAAAAAAAGAAAAAATTGACTTTGGTTTTTTTTTTTTTTTTTTGGCAAAGAAACTCACACACACAACAAAAATTGACTTTTCTTTTTAGTAAGCAATAAAAAAACTCGTGATAAACAAAAGAAGCAAAAACAAAGTGGGCGATTAGTTTACGTTTTGATGAGAGTTATCTTACAAACTACTATCATTAGTATTAGACTTGTCATTAGGTAATATCCATTGTGATTTCAGTGGCATTATGGGCATACCAAATAATTTCGCGGTTCGATAAATAAGGAACATTGAAAGGCTTTGCTTCTCAACCCCTCGACTCATCTGTCTTTTCTCTGTCGTCTCCTCAATCTCCGGAACCCTTCTCCCTCTCTCTCTCTCTCTCTCTCTCTCTCTCTCTCTCTCGCATCCACACAACATCACAGTAAACCCATACAAAATCCTAGCATCCATCGAACATCACAATAAACCCAGACAAATATTTAAACGCCAATGAGTGGAGTGCTCAGGTGACAAACTTAAGCCGCCAAACAACTCATTTCAATCCTTCTAAGATTCAGGTGGGTTTGGACTCATCTCCCTTTATATCTGTCTCGTATTTTCATGTTTTTTTCAGGCTCACATGAACACAAGTTTCTCTTGTGGTTTTTTGCCAATCACCTATATGAAACAAGTTTGCAAAATAAGGAAATTTTGATGTGTGTTTTTGGGTTACTATTGGAAAAAATCCAACTTCTTTGAGGTTTTCATTTTTGTTGTGATTCTCATCGCCAATAGGAAACATGGTTCGAGTGGAAAATTCGATGGGGATGTAGGGGCATTCTTGTCCTTGGAAATTTGCAACAAAGCGTCATGCAAATTCAACGTTGGCTTGGTCTTTCCTCGTGGTAGTCTGTGGACACGTAGGGGTAGGTTTTGAATTGAATTTAGTGTAAAAAGACAAAAAATGCCGGACGGTGACTTTTGCGCAAATTTACTGCTACTTACTTTTCACCGTGATCTCTCTCTCTCTCGCTCTCTGCTAGGTGCCGTTTGGATAGTGGGTTAAAGGTGGATTATTCACTAATTACATGGGATAAAATAGGAGTGGGATCCAAAAATCCCTTGAATGGAATCCCTGACCTTAGATTGTAAGTAGACGGTGAGTTTAAATTAGATGGGTTAGGATATAAAAAAAAGAGCATTGTTTTGGGACCTAAAAATTTAATTTAATTTGTTAACTTAATTCAATGTGATTTTTAGATTAGCAGTAGGCTCTATCAAAATTAAAATTTGGTGTTGATCCAATGATTCCAATTAACCCACATCATTATGTCAACAAATTAGTTCAAATTTTTAAATCCAAATAACATTACTCGTAAAAAAAAAAAAATACCCTCTCCCATTCAACCCACCTAACCAAACACATCCTAGTTTCCTAGAACGTGCTTTTGTGGTTAGACTTTTCGTTTGATTACTTATGGTTAACGTGCTCCTCTTCTTTTAAATTTTGCCACGTACGTTAGCTTTATTTTATTTTTTTTATTAATCAAAGGGAAAACTGAAACGTAATGAAGAATCCATTATATCAGGTCTTACCTAGTACATGCTTTCTGTGTAGTTTTATATCGGCCTTACAGATTACGATTAGAGTACTAAATACTTTTTTTTTTGATTGTAAGTGGGTGGATACGATTTTTAGGAAGGGAAGTATCATTTGACATGAGCTTGGGGGAAAAATGTGTCATTGTCTCTACCGTTATAGTTGTGGAAAAACTGACCATTTTTCGAACTTGAAAATAAATGGGTAGCGTAAGCCCTTACGAAATATTTATATCCTAGTCATCAGATTATTGGTTTGAATTATTATTTTTTATTATTGGCTGTGAATTGGGTTTTTCAACTATTTTATGACAAGTGATCTTAGACTTGGACTTGATCTTGATCTTAAATTAGTTTTGATCAGTTCAATAAAGAATTTGAGATCTCGGGACAACAAAATTTTCCACCTTTTAAAACCGGAATTTTTGATTGTTGTTATTGAATTGAGCGTAAGTTACAACCAATCAATTCAATTGCAATAAATGATTAACTTATCAAATTAGGTTAAACTGGACTTAACCTATACAACCACATTTGATTCTCTCGAGATTTCTGTCAATCAGGAGGTCAATTGTCAACCCTTGCCAAATACAAAAATTGATTTAGTACAACTATCTCTTTGAGATTTTATTATGCTCTCTTTTAGACTTTCTACAGATGTTCGAAAGTCATAATAACTGATTATACATTGTAAGAGTGATCTATTGATTTATATAAAAAAAAAGTTATCTAATTAAGTAGAAATAATACTACTATGTTTTTTCCTAGGTTAAATTACTTAGAATGCATGATCTGATTTTGTGTGTACGTATGATCACATTATGCAGGTATTGGTGAAAAAATGGCCTCAAATGCAACAGTCCAATGTCCGCCACCCATGAAGGCTACATCTAATGGGGCCTTCCAGGGAGATAATCCTCTTGATTATGCACTTCCTCTTGCCATTTTGCAGATATGTATGGTGGTTGTTCTCACCCGACTGCTTGCTTATGTTCTTAGGCCAGTAAGACAACCTCGAGTGATTGCTGAGATTATTGTAAGTTAATACATCCTCTCAATATTCATTGAGTCATCGTTTCATAATTCTTTTTACTTTTTTTTTTAATTAGATAATGGGGATTCGATCTCATCTCACGGTCTTTGAGCTCATAGCCACATAGAAAATAACAGATGAATGAAATCACTTCGGGTTTTTCCCAGCTTATCACCGTCATTTTTCTCTATCAGAATATCAGTCCACCTCTGCACCTAGAACTATAGTACTTTTCCTAAAAAAAAGTACATATTTAGTGCACGAGACTTCCATTATTGCAAGGTCTGGGGATAATTCGATGTGTGCAACCATATTCCTACAACTAGAGTGACTGTTTTGAGAATAATTCAATATTTTTTATACAGCTTTCGAGGGACTCTTTAAATGGAGGTATCTTCGGTAAAAGACCCCCTCTTGACTCTAAATTGAAGTACATAATCTGATAATTTATTCCTAGAGCAAATTAAAAACTTCCACATGCTGCTTTGTATAGACCATATAACAGGGGTATCTAAGTCAGGTTTTATCAGGGTCATGAACCTTTAAGGTGCACCCTCCCCTGGATCCATTGTTGCTTCGGTAATCATTTTTGGTGACCTTTTAATCTGTGGTCAACAAAGGTTTTTTGAAAAGCACTAATTGTTGCTTTCACTTCTAGAGGGTAGGAAATTATTGGATTAGAGGCTATAGGTATTCATTTTCTGTTGCTTCTACCAGTTATTCCCGGTTTCCTCCATCAGCAATTGGAAAAAATGGGTCCAGGACATGGTCCAGAAAATTCTTGCATCTGTTAGAAGTAAAGTCGTCGATTTTCCTGTAGCTAAATTAAAAGACAGTCCAATGCACAAGTCACCACCTTTTTATTAATGGAATAAAAAGATGGCCCAATGCAGAGTCTCCTGTATGATCCGGGCAGAATTCAGAGCAGAAGAACGGCACTTCGTTTTTGACATATTAAAAAACAAAGAATTGGACATAACAATTGCACGGGATAATTCTTGCAATAGTTTGAGATAGCGATCTCCAAACTAGTGAACCTGAAACAACAGAGTCAGAAAAAGGGGGCTAGGTGAGCACCCGGCTTACCCTCTCCGAAGCTTAAGTTAGTCTAAGGTCGAAGGGTTTAGCTTAATGGACAATCTTTTTTTGATTCAAGTTTGTATACATTTGTCTATTTTTCTAAGGAGTATTTATACCTGAATTAACAATGATTGTCAAAAATCTTTAGTCCAATTTGAACATCTTACATTTGACACACCATTCCTCGTGCAATGAGTGTTTTCTACTCACGTCTCCTCCTATTAAATGCTAGAAAGATGGGATAAATGCTCGGCCAAATGCCGAACATTTATGCTCCTCCCCCGAGTACCCAAATTCCCCAGATCGATATCTGACATCAACTGAACATTGAATACTCGGGAGAACAATTCTTCGGGGGGAGCCAATCGCGTCATCTCGATGCATCAGTCATAAATGTTACATTAGGCCTAGACTCCCAAAGTGCAGGTGCTTGCAGGCGCGCATTTATTTGCCTTGTCACTATTACTCATTCTGCCATAAATGAGGGGTCACATAGCATTAAATACGATGTCAACTGTCGTACTCGGTTGTTCCGTGTCATCATACCTCGACTTATTTCCTCGGCACCCTTTGGACATCCCAACGACTTCATTATTTCACGTGTCAACCTGGAGACTATAAAGCCACCTAGAGACTCACCAGCAACTATCATAGATTTCTGTTGTTTATTCACATACAATGTTACTTGCAAGTATTGTGGTGAAAATTGACTTCCTTTGTTGTTTTGACAGGGAGGAGTTTTACTTGGGCCATCAGCTCTGGGACGCAATACGGATTATTTAAATGCAGTTTTTCCAGCCAAAAGCCTCACTGTGCTTGATACTCTAGCAAATTTTGGTCTGCTCTTCTTCCTATTCTTGGTTGGCCTTGAGCTAGACCTGAGAACCCTCCGTCGTACAGGGAAGAAAGCCTTGAGCATTGCTGTAGCAGGAATCTCCTTGCCCTTCATTTTAGGAATTGGAACATCATTTGTTCTCAGACGAACAATTTCAAAAGGTGTAAATGAAGGTCCATTTCTTGTGTTCATGGGAGTGGCACTTTCCATTACTGCCTTCCCTGTATTGGCTCGTATCCTGGCCGAGCTCAAGCTTTTAACCACTGATGTTGGCCGAATGGCCATGTCTGCTGCAGCAGTCAACGACGTGGCTGCATGGATTCTGCTTGCTCTCGCCATTGCCCTCTCTGGCACGGGCCATTCACCCCTTATTTCTCTGTGGGTGTTCTTGTGTGGGTCTGGTTTTGTTCTTTGTTGCACATTTGTAATGCCACCTATATTCAAATGGATGGCACGTCGATGCCCCGAGGGTGAGCCAGTGGATGAAATGTACATTTGTTCTACTTTAGCAGCAGTTTTAGCCGCAGGATTTGTCACTGATACTATTGGAATCCATGCCCTTTTCGGGGCTTTCGTGATGGGAGTTCTAGTCCCAAAGGAAGGGCCATTTGCGGGGGCTCTCGTGGAAAAGGTTGAGGATCTTGTTTCTGGTCTTTTCCTTCCATTGTACTTTGTCTCAAGCGGATTGAAGACCAATGTGGCCAGTATTCATGGGGCTCAGTCTTGGGGTCTGCTTGTTTTGGTCATATTTACAGCCTGTTTTGGCAAGATCGTGGGTACAATTGTGGTCTCACTTTTGTGCAGAGTGCCTTTTAAGGAGGCTTTAGCTTTGGGGATTTTGATGAACACTAAAGGCTTGGTGGAGCTCATTGTCCTCAACATTGGGAAGGACAGAGGGGTAAGAATTAAGATCAGGCTCAAAACTAGTTACCTGTGTTTGTTTGTTATTTCTGCATTCGCGATTGTGGTCATTTTATGTGATTGATTTCGCAGGTGTTGAATGAGCAAACATTTACTATCTTGGTTCTGATGGCACTCTTCACAACCTTTATCACCACTCCTTTAGTCGTGGCAGTATATAAGCCTGCCAAAACTATAAGCAAAACTGAATACAAGCACAGAACGATTCGTAGGAAAGATACAGGTACACAACTCCGAGTGATGGTCTGTTTCCACAGTACGAGGAATATTCCTTCATTGATTAATCTCATCGAGGCTTCGCGAGGAATGGGGAAAAAGGAAGTAATTTGTGTCTACGCAATGCACCTTATGGAGCTCTCCGAAAGGTCATCAGCAGTACTTATGGTTCACAAGGCAAGAAGGAATGGCCGGCCATTTTGGAACAAAGGGAGGGACTCTGATTCCAACCAAATTGTTGTTGCCTTCGAGGCTTTTCGACATCTGAGCAAAGTCTCAATCCGACCCATGACTGCAATCTCACCAATGTCAAGCATACACGAGGATGTATGTGCTAGTGCTGAGAGTAAAAGAACTGCCATGATAATCCTCCCATTCCACAAGCATCAGAGGCTAGATGGGCAATTAGAGACGACTCGAGCTGATCTCAGGTATGTCAACAGGAGGGTTCTTGAGCATGCACCATGTTCAATTGGTCTCTTTGTGGATCGTGGGCTTGGTGGAAACACTCACATTCCTGCAAGCAATCTTGATTCTGTTATAGTTGTGCTTTTCTTCGGAGGACACGACGATCATGAAGCTCTTGCCTACGGTGCAAGAATGGCCGAACACCCTGGCATCAATTTAATTGTTGTCCGATTCTTGGTTGATTCCAAGGTTGTGGGGAAGGTTGTCAGTGTCGATATTACTGAAACCTTAACAGCAGAAACAAGGTCCGAGGATGAAGAAATCCTCGACGATTTAAAGGAGACAATGTCAAAAGATGGCTCAATCAAATATGAAGAGAGAGAGATGACTAGTGCAGAAGAAACAGTTGAAGTTATCAAGGAGTATAGTCGTTGCAATCTGTTTGTAGTTGGAAGAATGTCCGAGGGGCAGTTAGTGGCAGCAATGAACAAAAAAAGTGAGTGCCCAGAACTGGGGCCAGTGGGCAGCTTACTGACCTCACCTGAATTCGCCACAACTGCATCAGTTTTGGTGGTTCAACAGTACCGTAGTGAGTTGCCTCTACAGTCATTAGCTTCCTTGAAAGAGCCGGAGTCCACGACCGAGGGCGATGATGAATTTAACTGATTGAGTTTTTCTCTCTTGGGGACTATGGTTTGATGTATAGAAGAACATTGTAAAAAGGAAACAAAAGGCAAAAATATAATGCAGTTTCTGCTCATTTTCTCACTCTTTTTCCCTTCTCTCTAGTGCAATATTGGAAGTTACCAATGTATTGCAGCCTGTATTTCTCAGTGTTTCTTGCTGTACTAAGTCTCTGTTTATTTTCTTTCTTGTAAAGCTCAAGGCAGAGTGGCCTCACAAAAAGAACGTAAATAATGGCAAATTTTCACCTTATTACTTTAGTACCTATTTTCTATTTAGGGATCTTTACAGGTTCAATTTGGTTTTTGGAATCTGTAGAACTAGAGATTTACGGTTAGAGGTAATTATAATCTGAAAATCATTTTCACACACTTTTTTTTCTTTTCTTCGTTGTTCAATGCTCGAGTCTCATTTCTAGAGTAGAAGTCACACAAGCTAAGGCTGTCCGCGGTGGTCTGGCGTCGGTGGTGGTCTAGAGAAAAAACAAAATGCTACATCAACATAATATGACAAGTTCTTGTAGGGGTGTCATATATTATTTAAACTGGTGAGTATAAATTATAGTCAGATGCATTGATGAATCCGCATACTAATCATGGTCTCATTCATTGAGAGTGTATTTTGACTTTTGGTTCATTTTCTATTTGTTTAATTAAAGTTGACCGTTTAAATATCTATCTCACATGAATTGTTCATTATTCATTATAAATTGAATGATACTGAAATTATTGGGACACGAATCAATCTTACTAATCAACTCCACAAAATGCTTGTAACATGTGGCTGAATATATGAGAAAGTTCACACACCCCCGACAAATTCATATGTTTTTTAACTTTTTATAAATAAAAAATTATTAATCATTTTTTTTTCAAAGAAACATTATATGTGGTGTTAGGTATATGTCTCCCTATTGCATTGAAAGAAATCTAAACCCCAAAATTTTTGACTTTATTATTTGTGAAGGCTTTGCAGATTAGGAAGACAACAACTTGGACGGAGTAAGCCAAATTCAATTCGATTTCAATTTGAATGTACACAAATGTTTAATATTCAATTTAGGTTTGAAAAAAAATAAATTCAGCCTGATTTAAATTTAGGCGAGAATTGGGGTTTAATCTATACTCAATTTGAATTGAATCCTTATTTCAGCTTGAATTTGAATATGAGCATCAAACTCAAATGAAACGCATGTTCAGGTGAATATTAAAGAATCAACTCTAATAGATAGTTCAAATGGTAATAAATATAAATTGTGAATTTAGACGTTATGAGTTTGAATTTTAACAATTTTTTGGGGTCAGGCCTTAAGAGATTTATCTCTCATGAATATTTTAATCCCGACGTAGATGGTTTGAACACTCCTGATTATTGAACCAAAAAAACATATATTTGACAATTGAAGCCAAATTATACCGAAATTGCTAAATGTTGTCCTCAAAAGTTAAAGTATACATAGTACCTAGTTTTTTTTTTTTTTTTGGGTTTTTGGAAATCTTTTGGAGATCAACCAAACACAAATCAGTGGAGCACTAAACAAGATCAAAAGTGGTTTCAAATCCACCATAAAGAATTCATACATGTGAATTAGATGCTTCAATCCTTTTTCACTTTAATCATTCTTCTTGCAATATGCAATCATTCATCCATTCAAGAAGTATTTATGGCAGGTAATAACAACCTAACAGGTGTTCGATTTGAGAGAAGATAACGGACAAAAAAAAAGTACTTTACCATTAAATTTTGTAAGTTTTATGGATTAAAATACAAGTTTTTGAATTTATTTACAACAAAAAATAAATTATAATTTTTTTAGGATTAATCCCAAGATAACCCCCAAAAATTATACCATCGAGCAACTCAAGGTAAGGAATCCAAACTAGGTGGCATAAATAGTCTTTTATTCGTGCTCTTTGTTCTATCTGTTGGTAGTATTTTTTTTTTTTTGAAATTTCTTTGTAGACATGATAGAATGAGGGTTTTTTTTTTTATCGAAGCTTTTTCTAGTCCTCCCCCGATAAATGACCCCAAATTAAAAAATGATCCTAAAAAAAGTTAATAATAAATCCCAAAAATTGTAAATAACTCTCAATTTTTGAAAATTATGCCTATTTCTTTTTTTATTTTTTGATAAGTAGTCTTCTATTCGATTTGGTTCTCTTATAATACTCCTTTTTTTTTCAATTTTTATTGGTACTTACAAATAGTTTATTAGTGTAACGTCTTCTTTTATGTTGTGGGTCTTTACTTATGATTTATCATTAAAAGATTTGAAACATAATGTGGGTTGGACGGACACAATGAATCTTGAATTTCAATAGTTTTATGAGACTCATTGTCACTTTATTCTCACACTAATTGACCTAGCTACTTATCTTTCTTCCTCACGCATTCCTTTTTTTTTACTTTTTGTTCATTCTTTACAAAAAAAACTACGAGCACTCATGTTTCAAATAAATAAATCCTCAAGCACCCGCTATAATACTACCACTTTGGACTAGGTCTGTATAATTTTAAAATGCCTTGAGGGTTAAAAAAATGTTATAACATAAATAAATCAATCACTTTTTCTCTCTTAACGACACGGGATGAACTTTAACCCCTCAATCTTGACCGTTACATTAATTCACCTCTCTTAGGGTTACACGTTCCCATGTGGTGGATTGTCTCTTAATTTTTTCAAGAAACCGTTTTTGGATTTACTAGTAAAACCCATTGGCAAAGTTTTGGCATATGATCAAGCGACACTCTCGTTGTCTAGGCCGGGGATAGCAAGGGTATGTGTGGAGGTCAATTTACTTGCAAATAATCCAAATAGAATTTGGATTGATATGAGAGTTGAGGATGCAAGATGGTAGCGGATAGTATTTGAAAGGAATAAGAAATTTTGTAAAAGTTGCCGGAAACAGGGCCATGAGGAACTTGAATGCAGGAGGAAGAAACCAATGGAGCAATTGATGGTCTCAAAAGGAAAGAATCCAGTCACAGAATTAGCAGAAGGCGAAAAGGAAACTAAGGACAAGAGTAATGGAAAGAATTCTGTAGAGGCAAGTGTAGAGCAGATTAAGGGGAAGGAAATAATGCAAAATTCAAATTCTGGGAAAACAAATAAAGAAACAGCATATCAAGAAAAATCTCAGCTGCAGTTAAAGCACTCAAAGCTAGCACAACAGTGGAGAGGGAAGAAGCAACAACAGCCTAAGCAAGTCAATAACCCAATAAAGGAAACAATAGTCACTTTTGGCAAGGAAATATCTTCGGTAATTACAGAAGGTGACATGGAGAAAGAGAAATCTTTTACAAGATTGAAAAAGGGTGATCATTCGGGTAAAGACAAAATAGTGCAGCATGGAAAGTATATTCCTCCAAAGGAAAGTGTGCAACTGATAGATTCTGAGAATCCTACGACATGTGATACACCCTCTAAATAGAACAATGTAGCCAATCCTTTTGATCAAAACAATGATGCCAGTCCTCCTGATCAGAACAATGAAACCAATCCTCAGGCCAAAGATTAAGAGAATTCACCATTGTCTAAGTCAGCTTCGATACTAGAAAAAGAGGATCATGAACAAAATCTTATGAACACCAACCAGCACTCAGAAATCTAAGAACTGCAGATTGTAAATGAACTCAATCCCACTGATCAAGAATTAACGAAAAATCAAGTCACACAAGGCTATGATTCTACTGCATATAAGTTGGTTAATTTAAATGATGAGGAGGTTGAAAATAAATTATCTATTTCTTCTAAAGATGTCTCAGATGATGGGATAGACGACTGCTCTTCCTTGTTGGATTATGGTTACTATAAGCAAGATTTTGAATACTTAACAGTGGAGGCTGGAGAGAAATCAAAATCCATTACTCCGGAAATAATGACAGCAGTTCATAAAAATATTCATAGTCAAGGAGAGATAGTTTCAAGCATGTCAGGGGAGGAGATTCAAAAAGCCTTGAAGCTAAGAGAAGTTTATTCAAATGATGACTACGTTAAGAGGTCTTCTCTTCATGAGCAATCAAGGGGTTTTTACTTTGATGGGGAAGAGGTACCAGTAGTTCAAGAAAATAATTTCAATTCTTTTATGGCTCTAAAAGATTACTGTCAATATGCAAAAAGATTGAGATGCAGAATAAGAGAAAAAAGGAAGAGTTGTTTGCTTTGACTTTGACACTTGATAAAGTCAAACCTATAATTATGACAAGATCAAGAACATTCAAGTTGCCAAAGCCAAAGAGATCTTATGGATTTAAATATTATTAATTTTTTATGGATTGGTTCTACTTGACGAGGTCTCCTGCAGCCACTACTATTCCAATATTCTGTCTTTCAGTATTCTTATTACTGTCTTTCAACTGGATTATTCAAAGAAAGCAACAGATTAATGTTCAACTGTCCCATACTGTTCACGATACTGTTTATCTAACTTTCTGTTACACTGTCAGTTGACTCATATTCTCTAGACTCTTCGTTGACTATAAAATGTCGTGTTTGAAGTTATTGTTAAGATTTTATTTTGTCTTTAAAGTTATTTTATTATGTAAGGGGAAAAGTTTATATCCTCTCATCTCTTTATAATTTTGTTATTAATAAAAGTTGTCCTAAATAAATTTAACTTAAAAAAAAAAAACACACGTTCCCCTGTGGGACCCACCTCAACATCATTGCGGGAGCTTGTTTTGATATCATTTGTAATGTCTTATGATATTGTCTACTTTAAATTAAACGTGTACGGTTTAAAAACGGATTCTGCAAATCTCATGATGATTTTAAGACTCAATGTCTAGTTTCAATTTGCATACAAACCTCAGAAAGTGGTTCATGTTTTGCTTTTTTCTTTCTAATGTTTTTAATGTGTTTCACAGTATCCATTCTATAACTTACGACTCCATTAATCACGAGCTTCTTAGCTACTCAACTCTAATTAAAGTGGTTCCACTTTCAATGGTGCTTGTAATGTTTACTTTAGAGAATAAAATTATCAAAACCCACCTGAAATAATTTCTACGGTCCAAAAAAAATTAAAACAAATCAAGGTTTTAATCAATCAATGGGGCACTATTTTCATTTTATATATATTTTTTTAAAAATAAACATTTTTGTAACGTCAAAAAAAAAATCTTATAAACAGTAAAAAATAAGAACAAAATTTTCTCATTCAGTTTTCATACGAACATGTAATAATATGCATACACACATATGAAAAAGTTTTCTACCGTAAATTGTATCATCTATACAATAAAATCCTGTAATAGTCTACGGAAATTGTGTACTTCTGTGGGCTCCGGGAGAGAGAGAGAGAGAGAGAGAGAGAGAGAGAGAGAGAGAGAGAGAGAGAGAGAGAGAGAGAGAGAGATCAAAACACTATAATATTTTTAATTGGACGAATTGTCCTTTATCCCATTTCAAGATTCTCACTTTGTAATTTTAAAGATTAAATTTTACACATTATCATTATATTAAAAGTATTGTAATGCCGCTCTTTTGTTAACTTTTCGTTAGTTTTTTTATCCGTGTCAATTGATAGAAAAAAATAGTAGAAGGGTCAGAATACAAAGCTATTGATATGTTTAGGGTATAATATGAAAATTTTAAATTTTGAGGGTACAAAGTTAAATTCTTAAAAAATTTTAGGGTATAAAGTTCAAAAAACCCTTTCTAATTTCCTGAACAATAACATTAATTTTAGCACAAAAGGGTTTCCACTGGGTTCCATCCTCATTTAAACTGCCATAGCTTGCTCATCTAATTTTCGAATGTGGGCTGAAACTTTGACCCAAAACTGTTTGTTCGCAAGAACATTCAGGCCTTTTTATCTTAGGCCCAACATTTATGGTCCAATTGAAAAAGTTGCCTTTGGGTTGTCTTGGGTGGGGCTGAAAGGCCGATCACATGGGCCCATCCTTCTACAATTGTGTATAAAACCAGTTTCGTTTTGCTGGTGCGTTTGTATTATCCAGTAATTGTGTTTAGTAAGTTCACGTGGATTCGTTTATTTGATAGGTTTAATGACTTCATCGGTGATGATACATAAAATATGTTTATACACCATTTATCAAGTCCTTAATGTAATAATTAGAAAGGAGACTCAACACAAATAAATACAAAGATTAGATGGTTCAGTCTTGGTGGAAATGATGATAGTGGCCAAAAAATCTTATTGATCAAGAGATGTAGTATGCTAAGATTTGTGTGATGTTCCCTATGTATAGGCAGAGTTTATAATTTATAGGTGAGTGAAATTGACTTCAAGGGGCTTTGATTGAGGGGCCTTCGTCGTAACAAAGAGTGGAGTGATTCCATAAAGTTCGTCTTATTCTCGTAAAAAACGAGGTGATAGTGGAGTAATTGCTTGAAACTCGTCTTATCTCATAACGGACGAAGTGATTTAGTGAGAATAGCGATGTGCCCTTGATTACTGTGTCCCCACAAATTTCCTCTCTTCAAATGGAGATTTTCCCGTGCGCTGATGATGGGTTGGATCTCTCAAAAAGATAGACTTGACTTTACTGAAATTCCTTGATCCTGTAGTGGACTTGGCCTATTTATTAGAGCTAGACTTGGTCTGCATTTCTAATATGAACCAGACCCATCTATTGATATTACACCCGAATTTATTAAGAATAAATTCAACCTTATTAATTTCGAGTCGAATTTGTAAGTAGTGTGCATTCAAAATGAATAGGGTGATAAATTTTTTTTGTTTTTGCTTTTGTTTTTTTAATCTTTTTTCCCATTTTTTTTCAAAAAAAGAGAAACAAACAAGAACATACTGAAATAAAACAAATACAAACTCAAGAAGGGCCAAGGCCGAACGGCCTCCCAGGAAAAACGCAGAGAGAAAATATAAGCACAAAAAACATCAAAGACTCCTGAAAAGTTTAGTCAGAATATTTTAACATGAACGACACAAACACTTGGTAGAGTGGTAATGCAGTGTGACTCATAAAAAGCGATAAAAAAACTTGGAATAGGAGAGTAGTTGATCAGACTCACTAGGAAACTAAGATTGATGTAGTTCACATAATGAAAGACATTGCACGTGTGAGAATTCAATATCAGATATAAAAAAAAAGTACAAGTAAAAAAAAAGTACAAGTGTCGTAATATATTATGGATGAATTCACTGCTTATAAACTTAAATTTTTTGATGGATACGAGTTTTGGACATATATATTATTAAGGCTTGGATCATTGGGCTTCGTGTCTAGATACCTACAAACACTCCATTAAGAGAATTCTGTTGTTTTTTTTTCCCTTCGTATATACTTCTTAGATATTCCCTCAATGAAAAACATAGTCCTTAATGACATATAAAACAGAAAAAATTGATCTATAAATTGGATGAAAGAGAGCTCGATCCAGAAAAAAAACATAAAAAAACAGAGTCATGGTGAGAGGGTTTGCTGAGAAATCTTGTTGCATTTTCTTTTTCCTCCTTGTGTCATGTATTATTTTCTCTCACTCAAAGACAATCAAACTAGAATAACTATGCAAGAGGATGGTACTCTACTACCATGACATCCTTTTCAATGGCACAAATGTGGCAAATGCTACATCTGCTAGAGCTGCAAATGCCACTAAACTGGGTGACCACCAGTTCGGCATGCTGGTTGTCTTTGACGATCCGATCACGAAAGATCACCATCTTCTTTCTCCTCCTATCGCCCGAGCTCAAGGCTTCTATTTCTATGACATGAAGACTACATATAATGCTTGGTTCTCCTTCACTTTGATATTCAATTCTACTAAGCACAAAGGTACCATAAATATTATGGGTGCAGATATGATGGACTCGGAGACTAGGGATCTTTCAGTGGTTGGAGGAACCGGAGATTTCTTCATGGCAAGAGGGATCTTTCGGACTGATACCTTTCAGGATCTTGCTTATTTTCGTCTTCAGATGGATATTAAGTTGTATGAATGATATTGAACTGTGTTAAGGGATGTCGGGGCTTGAGGCCTTACTAGAATTGTGTGTCATGTACTTTTGTTGTGAGAATTATAGCCAATAGGCAAAGCCATTTGAAATGGCCACCTAAGGCCCCTTGTCTTACACAAAAAAAACAAATGAAAAATTGGAAGAAAGTACACCAAATTAGACTTAATTATAAAAAAGTATATAGAAAAAAATGTTGAGTAATTAAGTTCTTAATTTTGATACTTATTTGTATCTAAGTACATTATTTGAATTTTACTGATTTTTTTGTCCTCCATTAATCCATGTGTATTTAATGCACCATTTTTCTTTGAAATGTAGTGCATTAAACATCTCCTAATTTTATGGAAGAATTTTAATACACACACACACACACACATATATATATGTATGTATTTATATTTATATATATGTATTTATGTGTATATATATATATATACACACGCATATATATATATACACACATATATATACTTGTTTGAATTTTAAATTTTAATACATATATATATATATATACACACACACATATAAATACATATATATATACTTGTTTGAATTTCAAAATTTGTATATAAAAACGTATATGTATATAAATTATATTTTAATGCACATTGATTCATGCGTTATATATATATATATATATGTATGTACGTATATACTTGTTGTTAAATCTCTTATCTAGATTTTGAATTATCTTTTAATAAACATTGATTTATGCATTTTTTTTAGAAAGTGATTTTATATTCAAATTAATTTAATATCCAAATAGTATAATAGTGTAACAATAAAAGTATAACAGTGTAACAATAACAATGTAATAATAAAAGTGTAATAGTGTAACAGTATAACAATAACAGTGTAACAAGTTATTTACAAAAAGATTGTACTATTACATTTTGTCAAACATATAATTTCATTCAAAATAATTCATCTCCGTTTTGAATTTGTTACTACATACACAAAACTACTGAACACTGTTTTTGTTACACTATTACATTATTCGGATATTAAATTAATTTGAAAATAAAACGATTTTCCAAAAAAAAAAAAAGAACGTTTGAATTAAGGTGTATTAAATATAATTTGAAAACAAAATTACTTTCCAAAAAAAAAATACGCATGAATTAAGGTGCATTAAAGATAATTCAAAATTTAGATAAAAAATTTAACGAGTATATATATATTAACAAATACACATGAATCAAGATGCATTAAATACGTATTTATATATATTAACAAACACACATAAATCAAGGTGCATTAAAAATAAGAGATTTTGAATTAAATGACCTTAAAATGAGCATTTATGTCTTTGTAACTCACATTTTATTCTATGTACTTTTTGTCAAATAAATTTAATTAAGTGTACCGACTTTCAAAAAATCCAAAAAAAAAAAAATGAGGGCTCAATATAGTGTGGAATGAAGTGTAATTTGTCTTACCAACTTTGAAGGCCGGTCTTATATTTTTGAATTTGACTATATATTTGGAGTCATATCTATTTTTAGTCCCAGTATAAATGATCGGTCTTTAATTGGATCGGATAAAAAATTAGTTGAATTACACGTAAATTGGTCTGGACACCTCTTATCGTTGAATCTCCCCTAAAAAAAAATCGTGTAGAACTAGATTTTGAAATCATGCACATATAAATCAAAAGTCACTTATGAGAGTTGAATTCAAAATCTCAAGTTAAGAACACATGATGTCTTCCAGTGGAACTATCTCGACTAGGGAAGTTTATCCAAGTAATGGTGTAACATCTACAATATAAAATAAGATATATTTTAATAAATTTATTTCATAGTATCAAATAAACTCATTCAACAGTCATTAACATTTATCTCAAAATCATTCACATTGTATTATATTTTCAAACACGAGTTATCTCTAATATTAAATAGATGGGAACACCACATGGATGTGGGGGGTACAAAGTGTAATCAAAGCAAACTAAGAAATATAAAGTGTTTATTACTCGAAAAGAAAGAGCCGTAATTGAATTTCTAATAAAGGTCCAATGGTTGCACATAGAATCTCTCAATATCTCACCGTCTGATCTCTCTCCCTCTTCAATGCTTTATATCTTACACAGTCTCTTATTTCAGACTTAATGATATGATTTTAATATAATAATTAAATTAATTGTGAGTTCTAATGTTTCGTAGAACTCATAATCAATTTAATAATTATACATCATTAAGTCTTAACATTTATTGAACCCATATATAGATGTGTTTGGCGGCAATATTACTTAACTGCCATTGCATGTTGCATCATCCGACCAATAGGATTGAAGGCTTCGTGGCTAAGCTAGCCAGCTAATGTGCAGCTCATTGAGAAGCTTCCAGCGCCTTGCTCAGCTTGCACCTCCTCAGCTCCAGCTTGTTTCATTTAATGCAATACTTAATGGTGAATGATTTCCCAGATAGTTTCCAACCTTCTGTACATTTCCATAACTCTAGTTTAAAAAAATAAACTTGCAAATGGAGATCATGTTAGTAGTTACTATGTAAATGTAATTCTATTAAGTTGTACCTTACTTGCTAATCCCAGACGGCTTCAAATCAATCACAAACCATCCGTTTCCTGATTATCGAATCAGAAGATTTCATTTCGTGTATGACATATATCTCTCGTTATACTCAACTTCATCCATCTAGGTAACGCGTATGATTCTGCGACATTGTGATTCACTACCCTTGAGTCAAAAGGCATTATCACAAGGTGTGAATCACTGTGTCGCGGAATTATACGCATGATTACGAATTAATCTTTTTTGTTTTTTGAATCCACATAGCTAGGGCATATTCCCTTACTAAGAAACATGGTGCTTGATGACAGGATCGGACAGCAGGGAACATTTGCTCTATAAATTGGATACAGTTCAGTCTGATCTATCTACCACAGACATATACCAACTCAGTCATCATGAGTGGCCTTGTTGAGAAATTCTGTCTCATTCTCTTTTTCCTACTTGTGTCATGGTTTGTTTTGTCTCACTCAAAATCAATCAAACCAGAAAAACCATGCAAGAGGATGGTGCTCTATTACCATGACATCATTTTCAATGGCACAAATGTAGCAAATGCCACATCTGCCAAAGCTTCAAATGAAACTGAACTGACTCACAAATTTGGGATGCTGGTCGTGTTCAACGATCCCATCACGAAAGATCACCATCTTCTTTCTCCCCCAGTCGCCCAAGCTCAAGGCTTCTATTTCTATGACATGAAGACTACTTATAATGCTTGGTTCTCCTACACTTTGATATTCAACTCGACCAAGCATAAAGGTACTATAAATATTATGGGTGCAGATATGATTGACTCGGAGACTAGGGATCTTTCAGTGGTTGGCGGAACTGGAGATTTTTTCATGACAAGAGGAATTGCAACGCTTCGGACTGATTAGTTAAAGGAGCTCAAGCTCGATGATCTTATTAGAATGATGCATGTGTGAATGTAATCTCTTTTTGATAATTCATCTATTATCGTGCTTTTTGCCAAACCCAGCCTGACGTGTGCAAAATCGATTCTATGCTTACCACGCAAACCATGTTCATAATCAACAGTCTGCTATATAAAAATGTAGTCCCAATAAGTCCCAATAAAAACAGTCTCCATTTTTCCCTTGAAAGTTTTAATTTCAATGTGCGGTCTTTAAATGCAAATTCCGGATGCGCACAAAATAGCTCCTTTCCTTGCAACATTGAAACCTCTTGTTGGTTTCTTCACGGGCTAGGTATAATTGTACTAGTAGATTGTTTTTCTAGCATGCACAGGCAAAATGGATAGACACTACACGTAGGTCTTCCCCATAAGAGGGATGTAGCTCGGGCGAGTTGGACGGGTTGAGAGATCAACTCTAGCTCAACTTTAGGTATATAATTTTTAACTCTAACCCAAACTCTACCTCAATCTGAGGTATTCAACCTGAGTACTGTCCGAGTTTAGTTCGAGTAAACTCGGGTTGAATTCGGGTTACTTAATTTGGGCTGATTTGGGTTGAAAATCGGGTTAGGCTTGAGTTATTTAATTTGGGTTGATTTTTGGAAGAGTAAATTTGATTTTTTCAAGTAATATGATATGAAGGGTGAGATGCAAACGAAGGAGAGGGAATGAGAGAGGGAAGAGTGACGAGTGAGAAAAGGATCTGAGAGTCATGGAGGGGCAGAGGTAGAGACCTGAAGTGAAGTGAAAGTTTAAATTCTAAAGAGTGAAGATAAATACTAACCCTAGTTAAATATATTTATGTATATTTGGGTTCAACCCAATTTTAATATTCGGGTTGAACCCGACAACCCAAGACTTACCTATATTCAATGCGAGTTAGAGGTTTTTTACTCAGGTCCAACCTATATATTAAAAATTCTAACAAAAATCCTGTTTTTGGTGAGTTGAGCTCAGGTTAAATTCGAGTTGACTTGCCTAAGTTACACCCCTACCCATGAATGTCCTTAATTATTAATTAACATCTTTTGGCAAATGATGCTGTCAAAGGATTAGAACCGTACTGTAGAGACCAAATGATAATTTTCATTCTTGTGGGGATCTAAATCTAAGACATTAGATAAAGCCAACTTAAACGACTAAATGAATAATGTTTCGAAGGTAGTGCAAGAGTGCCATCCTTCATAGCATTGTTCGTATAAGTTTACAAGTATCTAGATCGCTTTTGATGGTGTGAATTAGTTTAAATGAGCAGAAGTTAGGAGTTATTTTTGTCAGCTTGGACCTGAGTTATTAGGCTCGTGAGGATTGTGAGAAGTACTGCTAGGGGTTTGGGATGACTTAGACAATGAAAATATAGAGGTTCACCGGCTCGGGAGCTTAGCTAGTCTACTCTTCAATGGAGATTCTTGCTCTTGTTTTAATGGTGAAAAATCGAATTTACAGTGTGTCTTCTCATGTAACTAAGTTTTTCTTGCCTTCTCTCAGAAGCATTGTACAGTATGTATATAGTATAATTTTTATTTTTATCCCTAAAGGATCTACAGTGAGATCCTTGTTCTTAATCCACAGGATTTTTCTTGATTTTAGGGGGGAATCTTGGGTGGTTTAAAATCTCACGCCTTGATCGCTGCTCTTTTGCTGTTCTGTGGATTCCTCTTACAGGTCAGCTGTTCTTTTCTTGACTTCTCTGATGTTTCATCCGAGAGGGACTCAGGACTTGGGCTTCAGATGTCTGAGCTCCCTGTCTGACTTTTCTTCCCAAGCTCATTCTTGGATAAAATTTCTATTCATGTATCATCAGCTTTAATACACATCCCTTTCAAATTTTAAATGACAGATTACCCATTTCTTGAGTTCATAATCTATTATAGACTCAGGAAGTTCAGTATAAGTATATTACAGTACAGTGGAATGTGGATCTCACTCTATTATAAGATCCAAGTTGGATAAAATCTCTCTGTCGAATTCTATTATTGCTTTTGTACGCAGTATCGACATTACTTCCATACGAGCACACGTCTTAAACAACTTATCAGTATTATAAGTGACGTGTTGGATAAGTTAATTGACAATTTATAATATAAAATAAAATAAATTTTAATAAATTATAATTTCAAATAAATTATACAACAGTGTCGTTTTTAAATCCATCTTATTCTCCGGTCCTCCCTCAAACTCACTGGCCCCACTCCTTTGTTAGAAACCATGTCGCTCGCCCATCTAAGAGTGTCCATGAGCCGGGTTATTCACAAGTCCTGTTACTTTGCATGAAAAAAAATAGGCCCGAAGCCTGATATACCTACCCGCGCCCAAGCCCAAAATCCTTAAAAAGAGGACTTGAGTTTGCCTCCAAACCCATTACCCGGCCCGAAACCTGGCCCAAGAGCCTGCCTGTTAGCTTAGCCCAATCCAACTCTCATTTGAAAAAAAATTATACTTTTAAACCATTAAATTTAAAACTTTGAAATAAGTATCCCAATATCGAAATTTGAAATTTTAAAAATTTAGATATTATAAATAATGTATTATTTTCTTTTCCATGTATTAAGTATATAATTTTTAAATGGTAAAATAATATAAATGACAGATAAGTTAGTAGGTGTCAACCTAGTTGAGATTTATTCATTCTTTGGATGCAGTTCATTATTTTATTTATATTTATTTTGACTTTATTTTTATTCAAAAATATAATTTACACAAATATTAAATTACAATAATATTTATTATTTTTAAATAAATAAATAATAAATATATATATATATATATATATATATATATATATATATATATATAAAAGCTCGCAAACAGGCTCGCTCAGCAAGCCCGTTCACAGGCCTGCCAAATAGGCTCATGGGTTGGGCTGCGGGTAGCCTACCTCTACCCGATCCGACCCGTTCGATACCTCACTTGAATAAGGACTTAGGCCTACACTACCTAAGTCCGGCCCGACAAAAATTCGCAGGCCTAACCCAGCCCAGCCCATGGACACCCCTACCCCCATCTCATCTCTTCCTTCTTTTTCTTTTGGGTTAATCTCATTTTGCACTCTGAAAGGTTGTTCAAATTTTAATTTGTACCCCTAAAGATCAAAAATCTCAATTTGTACCCTCAAAAATAAAAATTTGTATTAATGTACACCTTCAAAGATAAAAAATCTCAATTTACATCCTCAAAAATAGAAATCTGTATCAATGTGCACCTAAAACTAAATTGATAAATTATACCTAAATCTCTCATGTTTGTTACTTAATCATTTGAACTCCTTCACATTTAGAATATTACTCATATATCTCATGACGTTTGTACATGTGTAAACATAATCACTTTTCGTTGATATCTGTTAATATAATCGTTAAAAAATATGATTTTATCGTAATAAAAAATTATAATTTTATATTACCTTTTATTTTGTGGATTTAATATACTCTAAAGTTCAAAATCAAGCTTACCATTTGAATGTCTAATAGAATGTAGATATTTATATAAAGAAAAATATGAAAAATATTATATAAATATCTACATTTTATTAGATATTCAAATGAATTTTGAACTTTAGAGTATATTGAACCCATAAAATAAGGGTAATATGAAATTATAATTTTTTATTAGGATAAAATTATATTTTTTAACAGTTATATTAACAGATATCAATGAAAATGGGTTACATGTTGTACGTGCATAAATGTCATAAGATGTAGGAGTAATATTCTAAATGTAAAGATGTCCAAATGATTAAGTGACAAGCATGATGAGATCTAGGTATAATTTATCAATTTAGTTTTAGGTATATAATGATACAAATTTCTATATTTGAGAGTGCAAATTGAGATTTTTTATCTTTGGGGTGCACATTGATATAAATTTCTATCTTTGAAGGTGCAAATTGAGATTTTTGATCTTTGGGAGTGCATATTGATACAAATTTCTATCTTTGAGGGTGTAAATTGAGATTTTTGATCTTTGGGTGTGCACATTGATACAAATTTCTATCTTTGAGGGTATAAATTGAGAGTTTTACTCTTTGAGGGTACAAATTGAAATTCAAACGATCTTTCGAGGTGTAAAATGAGATTAATCTTTTTCTTTTTCTCCTCCGCTCCTTACTCTCTCTCTCACACACACACTAGCGCCAGCGACATCGCCAGAGCCACCGCCACCGCCACCGCCACTGCCTTCCTCTTCTCCCAGGTATCCTCTTCTTTTCTTCTTCTCTCTCATACACATACATGCAAATTACACCCCCCAGCTCGCCCCTTCTGCGAACCCCCCCCTAAAAGGCTCTTCCTTTTTGCAACCCTTCTCACCCAAGCTCTCCCCTTTCTACGCAATCCCCATTTTACCCCCTCTGCGCAACACACACCCACACTCTCTCTTGAATTTTGTGATCTCAGTTTGATGATGTTCAAATGGACACCCAATATGCCCTCTCTCTCTCTCACACACACACGCATTTCATGCAATAAACTTACTACGTACACACAGTAGAAAACAACACACCTTTCTTTTTTCTTTACACACCACCCAGCACACCCACAAAACACGCATTTAGCATGAGTTTTGATTTTGATAGTGTTTATCATTGAGTTTTGTGAATTTGAATAATAATTTTGTTAGGTTATGTTTAATTTGATGTGAGTGTTGTAATTAGGTTTGATTTAATGCAAAGAGCAATATATTTAGTTGGTTGAATTGGGAGATTGCATGCCCTATTGGATGGTGAATCATTGTTTAATGTGTTTTGCTTAAAAGTGCACACCAATTGTTTTTTTTTTTTGCTCAATAGCATTGGTACTGTTTCCATCCTCTAATTTCTTACTAGCTACCAAGCATAAATTTGCTCTCCTAGAACCTGTGCATCCAGGGCACCAAAGTTAGGGGTGAGAATTACTTGAGCTGATTTTATTTGTAACCAATTTCCTCGCTTCCGTTTGTTGTGTTTTAAATGTTTGTTAGGTGTAGTGTTGTTATTGGTGGTGTTTGGGTAAAAAGTTTTTAATTGATTACGATTTTGTTGTAGGTGGTCAGATTCTCTTTATTTTCTTTCAATTTTTTGTGTGCCATGTGTGTCAGATTTGATTTAGCTTTTCATAGATTTTATATTTATATTTTGTGCATTATTGCAGCAAAGAAAACTGAAAATCTGACGAGAAAGCCGAAGAGTGAGTGCATTCTTACTTTTCACTTTCTCCCAATTATTTGTTCAAATCCAACTATTTGCCCCATTTTGATTGCAATATTTGCATTTGTTCAATTATTTAGTTTAGTCAAATGTACTTTGCCTATGTTATTCTTTAACATTTCGAGTTCAAGTATTCAGACTTTTCGTTTTACATGTCATGTGTTTGGGTGTGAACTTGTTTATTTATAAAAGTCCAACCATAAGATTTTATTCATGTTTTGTTATGCACCATAAAAGGAATGGTCAATCAATATACTTCTCACTGGTGAGCCTGGGATAATTGTAATCTATTTTGTGGTTGATTCATTTGTGTTAAACTATAATTGTTCGAGATATATTGTTGAGTAGTAAAAATAGTGGTGCAAATTAATTTCAACTTTGTATAATTAAAGAACAGAAAGGAAAAAAAAATTGCTTTTGAAATATTTAGATTAGCCCAACTTAATCTAAAGGTCAAATTCATTTCCCCAAAAATTTCCCCCTATTTGTGTCTTATCACCCTACCGTCCCTTTCTCTCTATACATTCTCATCTCTCTCTCCTCTCCCTCTAGCACCATTTCTCTTCTCTTGGAGATTCAAAAATTCCGGCAACTCAATCTATTGTTAGTCTCTTTCTCTCCCCTTTTCTTTTCTCTTTCTCTTTCTCTTTGAAAAATCCGGCGAATTAGTCTGGTGACTCAATCCAGCGACTACTATTTTTTAAACCTGAATCAAGAGAGACTCTTTTTTAAACTCAAATCTTTAATGGTGAAACTATACTCTACTTTAAAGGTCTCTTGATCATATTGTACCTTCATTTAAACTTGAGTTTCTCTTCATTTATATTTGAGTTTTTCTTCCTTTAAATTTGGGTTTATCTTCTTTTAAATTTGACTTTCTTCATTTACTCAAATTTACGTAAGGTTTGAATTTTCATTAGAGATGGTCTAAGGAGAGCTCACACAAAAACATGAGTGCCAAAAATTTTTGGAATAAAGTGTAATTTGCCCCACCAAAATTTGAATACCAATCGAATATTTGTGACATTGAGTAGTATATTTATGAAAACGCACAATTATCCATAAATTATGTTCATTGAGTAAATCAGGACCCAAGAGTCATGTATATCCTTAGTTTCGGCATGGATGACTTTCCTTTAATTAAACCGAAAAAGGAATTAGTCGAAGTATGCGTAAGTTGCTCTTGATATTTTTTATCGTTAAACTAAAAAAAAAGGAAGAAGAAATCATGTGTACAAGTAGATTTTGAAATCATGCTCATATAAATCAAAAGTCTCTTGTAAGAGTTGAATTTTAAAATCTCAAAGTTAATAACACATGATGTCTTCCATCAAAGTTATCTCGACGAGTGAAGATTTTCTTTCTTGAAATAAACGATAGAAATTTATATTACGAAGGAATTTTTGAAAAAATGAGACGCCTAATAAAATTTGGTGCCAACTCCAACCATATAACTACATTATCCATAGAAAAAACATGAGAAGCTAACTTGTGAACTACTTTAATCCCATTACGGCGGACAGTAGAAATTTCAAACAGACGGAAAACTCCTCTCTAAACATTGAATATCGGCAAGAATTGCGCCATACCCTCCAAAATAATCTCTGGCAACTCTTGTTGTCTAGCAAATCGAAGCGCCATTCTTGCTGCAGTGGTTTCCACCATTCGGAAGTCGCAGCAGATGGCCAATCTCTTGGACATGGCCCCAACAAAATATCCCCTTTTCATCTCTAATGACTACTCCCACCCCCAAGACATTTTGGGCTTCATACACAGCAGCATCAAAATTGACTTTGAACATACCAGACCTCAGAGGACACCACGACTCAGCGGACTCAGGCTGCGAAATGGAACGGAGAAGAGCTACTGTCATATGATACTGCCTGCGCTGTTCAGCAGCAACTCCGGGCACCTCCGAGGGATCTTCAACCAAGCTCTCGAAAATTCTAAGGTTTTGGTTTCGCCAAACAAGCCAGCGTTGAGTAAGGAATAATGAAAACTCTTCTGATGTAAGGCGCCGATGAGCTTCGCGAAACCAGTGATCAGGACCTGTGATGGTGAGATGAGCTATTGCCACCAGTGAGCTGTGCTGCCATGCTGCTTTGCCCCAGGGACACTCCTTGAGGCAGTGGATCAAGGTTTCATCAGCTGCTTTGGCACACTCCACAACCTCTAGTCACTGAGATATTCCTCCGTTGTAAATTGTCCGTCGTTGGTAGAGCATTGGAGCAAAGACGCCATGCAAGGATTTTTAATTTTGTTTGGAATTTTTTGATTCCAAATAAAATTTCAATTCAAATGTCCAGCACTAGAAGAAGAAGACTAGGTCCTTTGACCTGCAAGCTGTAACCCCCGGTCCAAGCACACTGCGTACCAAGAACCTCTCATTGGAGCGACCAGTGAAGTTTTATATTACTAGCAAGTCGATAACGATCCAAGCACTGGCGTAACATATTAAAAATTGATGTAATTCTATTAAGTTAGTGCCATACTCGATCGGTACCTTTAATTTCAAAAGCAATACAATTTCATGTAAACCACGAATGTCATTCAACTCGGATGAGTAATCCGAGATGTTTCAAATCTATCACAAATCATCAGATTCATGATGAACGAATTAGATGATACCATTCCATGACTTCAAAATATGATTTATATCTTATGTCATGCTCAACTTCTTCCATCTAGTTAATGCATATGATTCTGCGACACTCTGATTCACTACCATCAAGTCAAAGTGCACTATCACACCCTTGAACCATGGTTACAAATTAAACTTGTTCTTTTTGTTGGATCCACATAGATGTTCATGTCTCAAACCCTTCAGTGTCTTCAACCCAGTTGGCTGTTCTGCATACCAATTAGGATTTAATCATTTGGGCATATTCCCTCACTAGGAGACATGGTGCTTAATGACAAATCAGACAGCTGGGAATATTTGCTCTATAAATTCGATACAATTCAGTCTGATCTATCTCCCACAGACATACCAACTCAGTCATCATGGGGGGCCTTGTTGAGAAATCTTCTTTCATTCTCTTTTTCCTCCTTACATCGTTTTTTGTTTTCTCTCACTCAAAGGCAATCAAACCAGAACAACCATGCAAGAGGATGGTGCTCTATTACCATGACATCCTTTTCAATGGCACAAATGTAGCAAATGCCACATCTGCCAAAGCTTCTAATGCAACTCAACTGACTCACAATTTTGGCATGCTGGTCGTGTTTGACGATCCCATCACCAAAGATCACCATCTTCTTTCCCCCCCAATCGCCCGAGCTCAAGGCTTCTATTTCTATGACATGAAGACTACATATAATGCTTGGTTCTCCTACACTTTGATATTCAACTCGACCGAGCACAAAGGTACTATAAATATTATGGGTGCAGACATGATGGACTCAGAGACTAGGGATCTTTCGGTGGTTGGAGGAACTGGAGATTTCTTCATGGCAAGAGGAATTGCAACGTTTCGAACTGATACTTTTCAGGGTGATGCTTATTTTCGCCTCCAGATGGATATTAAGTTGTATGAATGCTATTAGAAATAGTTAAAAGGAGCTCAGCCTCTATGGTCTTATTAGAATGACGCGTGTGCATCTAATCTCTTTTTGATAATCTATTTATTATCTAGCATTTTGTGAAACTCTAGGGAAATCTAAATTGAAACGTTTAAGTTTGAATCATAGTAATTCTTTTAGACTAGATGACGAGAGATTTATCTCTCGTGAATATGTTAATCCCAACGTGAATGCTCTATCTTTAACTATATCAGAGAGGGGATTGGTGGAGGTGTACAACAGTTGATCTAGACACTTCTGACCGTGGAACAAAAAAAAAAACCCAGTCAGATACGTGCAAAATTACTTCTATGCTTCTTATTGGAAAAGGAAAAGATCTTCACACCACTCAAACTATATTCACAATAAAGAGTCTGTTGAGTGGGAGATATTGATCACCATCTAATGCTAAATAATGATTTTTGAAAGTTGTGAGCAAAATAGCTTCACTAAACCAGACTCTCTTGCGACATTGAAACCTCAGAGTTGGCATCTTGACGGGCTGCCAATAATTCTACCTATAAATGATAGATTACCCATTGCTGAGTTCATGATCTAGAAGGAAGTTAAAGTGTAAGTATATTACAGTGGAATATGGATCTCCCTTTATGATAGGGTGCAATTCGGGCGGGTTGAGCGGGTTAGATAGTCAATCTTCTCTCAATCGTAGGTATATAATCTTCAACTATAATCTTAATCCTAACTCTATCTCGGGTTGATAAACCCAACCTAGTACTGCCCGAGTCGGATGCAAATTTGGTCCTATCAGTTCCAAAGCACAATTAGAGACTGAGAGACCGAGAGAGACTGAGAGTGAGTCAGGGTGAGAGACCGAGAGAGGCTGAGAGTGAGTGATGAAGGTCTATGGGAGGCGCTAAGATTAACCCTAGGTGCCATAAAAAATGTATTTATACAATATTAATTCAGGTTTAACCCCAGGTCCGCCCAAATTGAATTCGGGTTGAGATTTTTTGACTCAAATTCAACCCAAGTATTAAAAACTCTAGTCCAAGCTCTAATTCTTTCGAATTTGGCTCTGATTGAAATCGGGTTGTCCAACCCAAGTTGCATCCGTACTCTATTATAAGACTGGAGTTGGGAAAAATAAAAACCTATTTGCCGAATTCTATTATTGCTTTTGTACTTAGTATCGACATTAATTCCATACTAGCACATGTCCTTAACAACAACAGATAAGTACTATAAGTGACGTGTTGGATAATATAACTAAATTCCACATTATTTAGGTGTTTTGGCAATTAGCATATAAGATACCTCCAGATACGACATTAGACGAGCCAAAGAGTTTGCTTGATGATCGATGATGAATCCCTCTTCTCTCCTCCTTTCTCTTTGATTACATCATCCAACAAGAAGACAATGGGGAATAATTAGGGGGTTTAGACTATGCTAGGGGAAAGTATCTAGTTTTGACCAATCATGAAGTTTCACATGTAAAGTTTTTTTATTTGTTTTCGTGATCAATGGCCTCAAATAACAATAAATAACTCGAAACAACATATATATTACTGAAAAGTGACATCTGATTAACACTATAAATTTATTCTTAATCAGAGTTATGAATCAAGTATGCATCAAAATCTAGTGAAGATCATAGTATAAGGTTTTGTACGCAGACATAGAGGTTTCTTGGATTCTATATACAGTTGTTACATTAAACTAAGCCATATATCCTGCATAAACAATGAAGAAGAACAAAACTAAGATATGTTATTTCCTGATGATTTTGTCTGTTACTGGTTTCGAAACCTACATTTGTTTCGCCTTGTTTTGTTCTTTGTTGGTCTCTTTTGTCTTGTCGCTTCTCTTCTAACACACTTTTTCAACTAGTCCCTCGTTGGGGGTCAGTTTGCTTACGGTTTTCAAGGATGACCCTTACCTTATTCTTTTCTATTACTCTCTCTCTCTCTCTCTCGCTCTCTCTCTCTAGAATTTGAATTCATTTGATTGGTACTACCTTAAGAATGAAGCTTGATCACATATCCAAAACCATAAGTGTTGCTTTGATCTATATAAGAAAATGTGCTTAGTATGTAAAGAAAGCTAATGTTACCTTACAGTTATTTGATGATGTATAAAAATGAGTTTATACAAAATCAATCAAGAATGAAGTAAAGAGTACTCAATACAATCAAACATAAAAATTAGGTGGTTCGGTCTGGATGACCTACTCTACTAGACATGACAACGGTGGCCAAAACATTTTATTACTTGAGAGGTGTGGTGTCTTGTAATGCCCCTTATGTATAGGTGGGAGTTACAATTTATATGAGAGTACAGTTTTCATGGCGCCCTTGAGCAGATTTTGATGGAAGCACCATTGCGGGGAGTCCCAATTAAGGCATACCCTTGTGACGGAAATGGGTGGCTCCATGATGTTGACGTAATGGACGAAGTAATTAAGATTTGCGATGCATATCCTGATTCTTTTCTTAAGATAGGGGTGTCACATGCGTTATTAGTAGACTGAGTTTTTTACGACAATGAGTTTGGTTTAAGCTAGGTTGCATATATGATCTGGCCTGACATGTATTTTTAAACTGGATTTATGATTTAAGTCCGTTCTATAATTATAGATTAGACCTAATCTTGGGCCGTCACTACACAATTTTAAAACTCATTTAATAAAATTTTTCATCTCGAATAGCCTTGTTGGATTTGTTAAGCTCGTGGACATGTACATAACATTATATACATACAAAAGAATCGAGTTTGATACCAAACACAAGTAACTAAAATAAAAGTTTATGAAAGAGGCAAGCTTTAGTAGTTTACATCAGTTTGTATTTTATATTTGTACACAGATGATATTCTTGCCATTGTAATTTTTACATCATTAGTATATATTTTCTCATCATTAGAGCGCATGTTTTGATACAACAGTAAGATTGCTCCATTGTGATCCGGAGAAGTCACAAGTTCGAGTCGCGGAAATAATTTTTCTACTTATAAGGGTAACATTGCGTACATCTAACCTCCCCCAGACCCCACAATGATAAAAATGTCATGCATTGGGTACACTCTAGTATAGATTTTCTCATTCTTCTAAGTTTGATTAGAAGATATTGTTTTTGTCACATCTCTCAATTATCTTTTACTACTTGGATCATAAGATAACGACACTTGATACAACAAATGCCACCGATAAGCAAAATATGCAAGCTAAAGGGATGGCCAGACAAGCTTGAGAATAACAAATTATTCAAAAGGGGTATTGCTATTAGCACTCAACAAAATTGTTTTTGGACATTGCATTCTGTTTTTTAAAATGATTTCGTTGTCTTTAACAATTATCAATATTTACAGAAATTGTTTGGTCGAATTCAAATCAGAAGTGACGATTGGAGAAAACAAAAGAATAATTTAATTTTATCATTCCAATAATCAAAAAGAGTAACGGTCACAGAATCTTGTAAAGAGTGGTTTGACGCGGTAATTATAGAGAGTAGTGGATCAGACTTCAGGGGAAGTGAAACCCGATGTGATTCACACATGAAGGGGAAATTGATGAATATTGCACGTGTGAGAATTTTATATCGAATAGAAAAATAAGTTAAAATATCTTAATATCTTGTTGGGCTAAGCGGGGATTTGTGTTGGGTCTTATCAGGTTTGTGTGAAAAATCATTCAATCTGTACATAATTCATTTAATTATATGGGTAAAAATCTACAAACCCAACATGATTCATTTATTAAACATATTATACAATACGACTCGTTTAAAATATTTATTAAATTTTTTTATTATTATAATAAATAAAGTGATTATTAAACTTTTTTTAATTGATCTAATTAATAAATTGAATATATTATTCTGACTAATAATTTTTATGTATAATTATTAATTTATTATTATATTAATTTTATTTAAATGGATTAATATCTCTCACCCGAACACGACCAGCTTAGTAAATGAGTTTAGCGGATCCATCCATTTACCACCTGCAGTCATTATGACCTCATTCAACTCGTCGTGTTAATTAATAAATGAATTTTGCATTTTAACAAATCTAAATATGAGTTTCAGCCATATATGTATTAGGCCTCGAAAACAATCCGAAATATGCTTCTTTCGGGTTGTGGCAGCGACTATTGTTGACTTTGGGTGAACCCCAGCCCAGGCCCATAGTAGTACAACTTCTAATGCAAAAAGGCCCATAAATCATCATCTTCTGTGGGCCCACCAACAGCAGGATCTACATTTTGGTAATACGCATGTGTAGGGCTGTCCATGGGCCTGGCCGGGCTCGGCCCACGAAATTTTTTTTTGATCGGGCTTAGGTAGTATAAGCCCAAGCCTGTACTCGGGCGAGTGACGGGCCGGGCCGGGCCAGGGTTTATGAGCAGACTTTCTAGGCGGGCTTTGTTGGGCCCTATTGAAAAAATATACAACATTATTTAATTTTTTTGTAAATTATATTTTTGAATTAAAAGTATAGTCAAAATCAAAATGGACAAAATTTAAATAGTGAATAATTTTAACAAATGAGTAGAAGAGAAATTGCATTACTATAGAATGAGTACATCCCAACTACGTTGACACCTACTCACTTATCTATCATTTGCATAATTCTAACCATTAAAGACTTTTGTACATAAAAAGGTAGAATATTTAATACATGAAAAAAAATACATCAGTATTAATATCTAAAGTCTTCACCTCTTAGCATAAACATATATGTTTGATCAAAAAAAAAAAACATATATGGGCGGGTATGGGCTTCGGATATGTGGGCGGGTTATTGGGCCGGGCTTTGGCGGGGTAATGGGTTTAAGGGTAAACCCAAGCCCTTTCTTAAAGGATATTGAGCTTAGGCTCGGGCGGGCCAACTATCGGGCATATCGTGCTTCGGCTTATTTTTTTCGGGCCAAGTAATGGGACCAGTGGATAACCCGGCTCATGAACACCCCTACCCTCGTGGGCTAGCTCTCCCACTTACCACCGCCCAAGTACTTAAAGGTG